CTAAAGCCTTATCTGAAACGTCGCCCAGCCTTCGGCATCTCACTGCGAGCTGTGATTCCGGAGAATCTGAGCGCGTAAGAACTGTGCGAGCGATGGTTCTAATATTCGTATATGTATATGCATATGTTTATTGATATGTCTTGGCATATGGACATGCATATGGTTATTGAGATACATCTGCATATGCAGACATATATATACATATATATATATATATATATATATGTATATATACACGTGTACATATTCGTGCATGTGTATAGGTAGATGTGCATTCACATGTATATGTATAGGTATATGTATATGTATATGTATATGTATATGTATATGTATATGTATATGTATATGTATATGTATATGTAAATGTATAGGTCTAGGTCTATGGAATGTACATGTATCCGTGTATGTATATGTATATGTATGTATATATATACATAAATATGCACATGTATATGTATACGTATACCCTATACGACCACCCTTCGGGTGATAAGGAGGTTCGGGGGGGGGAGGAACCAACGTCTCACTCGATCGGTCTCACTATCGATCTCACTATCGATCTCACGATCGATCTCATCATCGATCTCACTCGCCCGGTCTCACTATCGATCTCACCATCGATCTCAGAATCGATCTCACTATCAATCTCACTATCGGTCACACTACCGATCTCACGTTCGATCTCACTCGATCACCATCGGTCTCACAATCGATCTCACTATCGATCTCACACTCGATTTCACTATCCCTCTCACTATCGATCTCAGTCGATTGACATGTAGATGGGCATGTATATGTGCATGTAGATTTGCCTGTATGTTTGATGTAGATTTGCATTTTAGATTTTCATGTTCAATTTGCATTTCGATTTGCATTGTCAATTTGCATTTCGATGTGCATATCGATGTGCATTTCGATGTGCATTTCGATTTTCATTTTCGATTTTCATTTTCGATTTGCATTTCACTTTGCATTATCGATTTGCATTTCGATGTGCATGTCGATTTGCAATTCGATTTGCATTTCAATTTGCATGTCGATTTGCATGTTCGATTTGCATTGTCGATTTGCATGCCGATTTGCATGTATATTTGCATTTCGATATGCATGTCGATGTTCATGTTCGATTTGCATGCCGATTTGGATGTCGATTTGCAGTTCGACTTGCATTTCGATTGCATTTCGATTTGCAATGTCGATTTGCATTTCGAATTACATTTTCGATTTGCATTATCGATTTGCATTTCGATTTGCATTTCGATTTGCACGTCGAGTCGATTTGCATTTCGATTTGCGTTTCGATTTGCATGTAGATTTGCATGTTCGATGTGCATTGTCGATTTGCATGTCGATTTGCATGTCGATTTGCATGTCGATTTCCATGTCGATTTCCATGTCGATTTGCATTTCGGGACACCAGCGGGACACCAGCGGGACACCGGCGGGACACCGCGGGGCCCCGGCCGCCCGGAAGGGAATCATTTGGTCCGGCCGCGCCTCAGCCACACGGGACACCAGCGGGGCACCGGCGGGGCGCCGCGGGGCCCCGGCCGCCCGGAAGGGAATCATTTGGTCCGGCCGCGCCTCAGCCACAGGAGACTTTCTCTCGCCCGCCCACGCAGCTTCGCCTCGCCCGCACGGCACGCACGGGCACGAAACCGAAATCGATTTCCCGGTAGGGGGGCTCTCCGTTCCACTTCGATCTCACCCCCTCACCTCCGATGTATATGCATATGTGTATGCATATGTGTATGTAGATGCATGTATGACTGTATATGTATGTGTGCATGTATATGTATAGGTATGTATGTATATATACATATATATACATATATATATATATACACATACACGGTTGCCCCCCCCAAGATCGTACATTTTCTGATCTAGTACCGCCATCGTCGATCGATCTCTCCTCCCCCCTCCCCCTCCTCCTCCTCCTGAAGGGAGCCCTGTGTACTTTTGGTTTTGTTGCTTTTACGTTGGTTTTGCAGGCCCGAATGCTCGCGCTGGCCTCCCTCTCAGCACCCTTCCATGCGCCTCAGACCAAGAAACCAACAAAACACAATGCTTCGCGCCTTCGATGCACGGAAACCCGTTTTTTGTTGGTTTTGTTTTTATTTATATATAAAAAATATAATTTTATTATTTTGTATTTTTTAAAAAGGTCTGAGAAGCACGGACACCATGTTTTTTTTTGTGTGTGTGTGTGTGTATGTTTTTTTGGTCTAGGATGCAACGCCACATTTTCTTGGTTTTGGAAGCTCAAGCGCTCCCCGCGGCCTCCCCCCCCAGCACCTCCTCCTTCTCCCCCTTCCTCTTTCCCCCTCCTTCTTCTCCTTCCCTATCCTCCTCCTTGTTGCAAAGCAAGAAAACCAATAATACATAGTGTTTGGCGCCCTCGGAGCAAGGCAATGTTTTTTTTTTTTTTTGGGGGGGGGGTCTAGGATGCAAGGAACCACGGTGTAGTTTTGGCTATCTTGTTTTTTTTTTGGGGGGGGGGGGATTTGGAGCTCTGGAATAGAAGGAGGAGGAGGAGGAGGTGTCGGGGGAGGCCGCGGGAAGCACTTGAGCTTCCAAAGCCAAAACAGCCGAAATAACACACACTCCACAATGTTTCCTTACATCCTGTACCAACAAAATCCAGAACCACCACACAAACACAGCGTTTCCTTGCTCCGAGGGCGCCAAACACTGTGTATTCGTGGTTTTCTTGTTTTGCAGCAAGGAGAGGAAAAAGGAAAGGCAGAGAAGGAGGGAAACACAGGAAGGGGGGGGGGGAAGGAGGAGGCGCTGGGGGGAGGCCGCGGGGAGCACTTGAGCTTCCAAGGCCATACAGCCGAAATAACACACAATCCACAATGCTTCCCTGCACCCTATACCAACAGAAAAAAAAAACAAAAACACCACACATACACAGCGTTTCCTTGCTCCGAGGGCGCCAACCACTGTGTATTCTTGGTTTCTTGCTTTGCAGCAAGGAGGAGGAAAGGAAAGGAGGCGGAGTGGGAAAGAGGCATGGGGGAACAGGATGAGTTGCTGGTGGGGATGCCGCGGGGAGCACTTGAGCTTCCAAAGCCAAACAAACCAAAGTACATACGCCGTGGTTTCTTGCATCCTAGACCTAAATAACCAGAGCAATCAAACATACACAGCGTTTCCTTGCACCAAGGGCGCCACACACTGTGTATTCTTGGTTTTCTTGTTGTGCAACAAGGAGGAGGAAACGAAAGTAGGAGAAGGAGGGGGAAAGAAGAAGGGGGAGACGGCGGAGGCGCTGGGGGGGAGGCCGCGGGGAGCACTTGAACTTCCAAAGCCAAACCAATACCCAAACATACAGAGTGTTTCCTTGCATCCTTTCCAACAGAGTCCATACTCATCAAACATACACAGCGTTTCCTTGCTCCGAGGGCGCCACACACTGTGTATTCTTGGTTTTCTCGCTTTGCAGCAAAGGGGAGGACAAGGGAAGGAGGATCAGGAGGGGGACAGGAAGGGGGAAGAGGAGGAGGTGCTGGGGGGTGGAGGCCGCGGGGAGCTCTTGAGCTTCCAAAACCAAAAACAACCTAAGTAACCACACATACACAGTGTTTCAACCATAACAAACACCACATACACAGCGTTTTCTTGCACCAAGGGAAAGATGAAGAAGAGGATGCTGAACGTGCCTACGATTTAAGATAAACAGTATGATCTTTTTTGGGGGAACCATGTATGATTATGTATATTTAGATGTATATGTATATGTGTATGCCAATCTGTTTATGCATATGTAGATGTATATATATATATATATGAATACGAATTTGTATATGTAGAGGTATTTGTATATGTGTATGTATATGTATATATCGATGTCTAGGTACATGTATGTGTCTATGTTTCGGCAAACATGCACGTATACTTAAGTGTACGTGTATGGGCTATGTATAGGTATACGTAGTTGGATGTATATATGTATATGTTTATATGTACGTGTATATGTAGAATTAAATGTACGTGTATGTGTATATGCGTGTATGTGTGCATGTGTGTATGTGTATGTATGTATGTATGTATGCATGTATGCATGCATTCATGCATGCATGCATGCATGCATGTATGTATGCATGCATGCATGCATGCATGTATATTATGTGTAAAATGGTGTGGGTATGTATGTTTATGTATATGCATATATCCGTAAGGGCTTCGCCCCATGCCGCCGGCCCCCTGTCTCGGATTATGAGAGATGCAACAGCTAAATCATGAGGTCTGGGCGCCGCCGTGAAGCAGTGTCGGGACTTGTTTGTGTTTCGACCCTGGCCCTACGGATCTGCGTCACGGGTGCCACCGAATTTCAGAAATGTGGCAAATCCAATGTGTTTTTGGACCCTGACCCCGCCGATCTGCGTGAGGGGTGCCACCGAATGTTACACATGTGGCACATCTTTTGTGTTTTTGGACCCTGACCCCGCCGATCTGTGTGAGAGGTGGCAGCACATTTAAGACATGTGGCAATCCCCATGTGTTTTTGGACCCTGACCCCGCCGATCTGTGTGAGGGGTGCCGCCAGATTTTGAACATGTGGCAAGTCCCTTGTGTTTTTGAACCCTGACCCCGCCGATTTGCGTGAGGGTGTCAATTGTTACCCATCCCAGCAGTTCAGAGCATACGATTTGGGCGTGGTAGAAATGCCCGTTTCGGGCCTCCCCTCCTCGCGCGGTCCATCAACAAGCAGCAGTAAACAGCAAGAAGCAGACAGTAAGCAGCAAGAAGCAGAACTGTAACAGTGGAAACTAAAAGCTGCAACTGGTACAGGAAACTTCGACGCTTCGCCCTACAGCCTGGTGGCCCCACAAGGGGGCCTGGTGGGCCCACAAGGGGTCCACGGCGTCTACAGCGGCGTCGAGATGCCACGCGACGCCGCCGCGCACCCGCCGGTGCCACGGCCTCCCGAGCTGGACCTCGACGTGGGCCCCGCCGCCACCGAGGTCGCTTTCGGCTTCTTGGGGCGCAACAAGGGCGTGGGCCCCGACTGCATCGCCGGCGATGTGCTGCGTGCTGGCGGCGGCGCCGTCGCGGCCGAGTACGGCGAGCTGAACATGGCTGTCGCCGCCTCGGGCCAGTGGCCGCTCGAGTGGCAAGGCGGCGACATCGTCAGTGCCTGGAAGCGGAAGGGCGACATCCGCTCGTGCGACGCGTCTCGGGGGCTGCTGCTCAGCGACCACGCTGCCAAGGGCCTGGCTGGCATGGTCAAGCAGTCCGTCGAGCCCGCCTACGAGCAGAACGTGCCGCAGGACCAGTACGGCGCCGTGCGGCGCCGAGGCGCCGACTTCGCCACGCACATCGTGGTCACCGTCGCCGCCTTGGCGAAGGCCATGAACTGGTCCATCTTCATCCTGTTCCTGGACCTCGTGAAGGCCTTCGATCGCGTCGTCCGCCAGCTGGTCGTGGGATGGGGCGAGGTGCCTGCTGGCGAGAGGCTCGCCTACCTCCGGTCACTCGGCGTTGCCGAGTCTGCAGCTGCTTGGATCATCGAGTATTTGGAAGAGCGTGGGCCGTTGCTGGAGCAGTGGCAGGTCCCGAAGACCTCTGCCATGCTCCTCCGCACCCTCCACGAGGGCGCCTGGTTCCGCGTGTCGGGCGGAGGGCGGCGCTTCGAATCCAGGACGGGCGGGCGACAGGGATGCAAGGTCGGCTCCCTCATCTTCAACGCCGCGTACTCCGTTCCCCTCGACATCCTCCAGTGGCGGCTCAAGCAGGCGGGCATTACCCTGAAGCTCCGCGTGCCAAGCGGGGCGTGCTGGCTGCCACCCGACGGCGCCAACGACGATTTTCAGCACGTGCTCGACGTCACCTTCGTCGATGACGAGTGCGTCGTGCTGACCGCACCTTCTGCGCAGACCCTCCGAGCCGCCATGGACATCCTGATGGAGACGCTGCTGGGTGTCTTCGACAAGTGTCACCTGCAGCTGAGCTGGGAAGCCGGCGAGTCGGAGGCCGTGGTGAAGTTCCGGGGCCATGGCGCGGTCGCTGCCCGCGAAGTCTTCCGCCCCCCCGACGGCCAGTTGGGGAGGCCGCTCGCAAAGTTCGGACACCAGGTCGTCTTCCGCTTCGTTCGCGAGTACAAGCACCTTGGCTCGTACATCGATCACGAGGGCATGGCGGCCACCAACATATCCGCCCACGCCCGCAACGCCCTGGCTGCGTACGCTCCTCTGGCGTGCAAGTTCTTCGGCTCGAGTTTGGTGGACCAGACGTATCGCCTGCTGTTCTTCCGGACGCTCGTGGTGTCGAGGTTGCTGCACAACATGAGCATTTTCGTGCTCTCCCCTCGAGCTGTTCGGAAGCTGAGTGGAGTGTGGATGCGAGGCCTGCGTCGCATCGCCGACCAGATGCGTTTCTCGAGCGATGTGAAGGCATATGGTCTCAGCGTCCGCCTCTCCCTCGCCATACCGTCGATTGACTGCCTGTTGACCGTAGCTCGACTGCCATACCTTGGCCGCGTTGAGCGAGAGCGCCCCCGTTCCTTAATCGCTGCTTTGCACGCTCGCCCGCGCGGCCAGCCTACGCCATGGGTGGCGGCCGTGCGGCGCGACGTCACCATGCTCCAGACCTTCGGTTTTTCCCCGACCTCCCTGACCTCGACGCTGGGGCGGAGGAGTGGGGCGCCAGGATGGCCCACAAGCCGGCGTGGGAACGAGAAGTAGGCCAAGTTTTTTTTCTGGAGTCGTCGTGCGACCGCGTCCCCGCCTCCGCTGAAGGAGCGGCGTCTCGAGCTCTGTCCTTTCACTGTCCGTCTTGCCCGTGCGCCTTTGCCTCGCAGAGAGCACTGGACTCGCAAGCGCGCGCGAAACACGGCATCCGATCTCCCTACACGGAGCGGGTGCGATCGTCTGCCTGCCCGTGTTGCTGCATCGATTTTCGCACAAGAGTGCGGCTGCTCAACCACCTCGGCGACAAACGTCGGCCGAGGTGTGGAGAATTCGTATTGAAGCACTGCCCTCGCTTGCCTCCCGTCGCCGTGGCCGAGCTAGACGGCCAGGACAGAGCTGAGAGGAGGTCTGCACAGCATGCAGGCCGCACGCAGGTGGTAGCCGCTGAACCCGCCCTCCGCTTTGACGGAAGACCCGTCGGCGCGCCGCCGAGCTAAACTGCTGTGCTGCGGCGTGTACAGTCAAATTTGATTCTGCCCATCTTTGAGTGTATATATATGTGTGTAAATATATATATATATATGTATGTACATATAGACATACATACATATAACAAATACGCCCCCCTCCCTCCTTGGAGCGCCCCACACTTCCGGACTAGGGAACACTCCCGGTACCGCGCCCCCAGGCATCCCAGTCTGGCCCCAAGACGCTCCTGGACGGCCCAGGACGCAAAACAACAGCCCAAAATGGCGTCAAGCAGCCCAAGAAAGCCTTCCGACCGCTTCCCCGGCTCCAGGGATCGCCGAAGAGTTAACCAAAAGGCCTCCAAGAGGCCCCAAGAGACCTCTGAGAGGCGCCCCGGGAGGGCCCGCAGAGCCCCAAATCGTGATTTTTCCGTTTGCTTTTTCTAAATTTTTGGCCGTCTCGCGTTTTCGAGCTTCCAACGCTCCATGATAGCCGAAGAAGCCCCAAGACCGCCCCAGGCGAGCGGAAAACGCCTCCCCCCCCTCCCCTCTCCAAGAAAGCCTCAAGACTGCCCAAGAGGCGTCCAAGACGGCCCAAGAACGCCCCAGGACCCAGGAACCCCCCCTTTACACACATATATATATATATATATATGTGTGTGTATACATATATAAATATATATGTATATGTGTGTGTATGTATGCATGTGTGTATGTATGCGTGTATGCATGTATGTGTGTATGTTTGTATGCATGCATGCATGCATGCATGTATGAATGATGCAGGCATGTATGTTTGTATGTATTCACGTACGCATGTATGTATGCATGTAGGTATGCATATTTATATGTATATGAATAAACATTTTATTTATATATGCGCAGTTCCTGGGGGGCATCTCGGCGGCGGCGGCGGCGCTCGCCCGCAGTCTGGCGGCGGCGGCGGTGACGATGACGGCGTCGAGGATCGTCAGGAATGCCTCGGGGCGTCCGGGGGGGTGGGGGGGCTCTTGGGGGCTTTGTGGGGCTTCTGGGAGCTTTTTGGGGGCTGCATAGGGCTTCTTCGGGGTCTCTAGGCGTCCTCTTGGGGTCTGTTGGAGAGCCTTTTGGGGGCCTCGTAGGGGATCCCTGGGAACATCTAGGGGCGGAGAGCTTCAAATGTCCGTTCGGGGACCCCTTCTGGGGCTGTTCTTGGGGCGTCCTGGGGCTCTCCTCGGCCGTTTTGGGGCTCTCGTGGGCCGTCTTGGAGCCCTCTTGGGGCGTTTTGGGGATCCTTGGCGGTGTTGGAGGCATCTCTGAGGACATCTTGAACCATCTTGGCCGTCTTGGAGGGCATCTAAATCGTCTTGAAGCGGGGAAGAAAGCTCCTGGAGCCCCGGGACCGCCGTGGGGAGCCTGCTCTCTCCCGGGCCTGGAACGCCGGATATGGAACGCCGGATATGTATGTATGTATGTATGTATGTATGTATGTATGTATGTATGTATGTATGTATGTATGTATGTATATATACACACATACATACATACACATAGATATGACCGTCCCCCCTGTCACATACCTTTTTGCCTCCTCATCCTCGATTGCTGCTTTTCCTTTGTTTCTCTCTCTCTCTCACTTTCTCTCTCTCTCTTTTTTTTTTTTTTCTCTCTCTCTCTCTCTTGTTCTCTCTCTCTCTCTCTCCAGATCTTCCCAGAGACTATCCAGGTGTAAAGCCTTATGTTTTCCAGATTTTCCAGAGTTCAAGTTTTTTCCAGGGAGTGCGCTGCAAGTTCAGAGTAGTCTCTGGGAGTATCTGGAAGATCTGGTAAATCTGGAAAGCACATGGTTTTTCACCTGGGTCGTTCCTGGGAAGATGTGGAATGTTTGGGAAATCCGGAAAACTGTTTTTTTTTCCACTTGGGTCGTCCCTGGGAATATCTGGAGTATCTGGAACATCTGGAAAGCACATGGTTTTTCACCTTGATAGTCTCTGGGAATATTTGGAATATTTGGAGCATCTGGAAAACACAGCGTTTGTCACCTGGGTAGTCTCTCGGAATATCTGGAATATCTGGAATATCTGGAACATCTGGAGAACACATTGTTTTTTTGTTCACCTGGGTCGACTCTTGGAATATCTGAAATATCTGGAAACTCTGGAGAGACACATTGTTTTTCACTTGGGTAGTCTCTGGAAGGATGTGGAATATTTGGAAAATCTGGAAACATCGTTTTTTGTTCGATACCACCCTCCCCACCGATCCCTTCCTTCTCTCTCTCTCTCTCTTTTTTATCCTCTCTCTCTACCACTCTCTCTCTCTCTCCTCCTCTCCCTCTGTGGTGAGGATTCCTGCTGTGAGGCTTTCCATTATAATCCCGCAGCGGCGCAGCGGATTCCTGCTGTGAGGCTTTCCGCTGGAATACCTTTGTGGCGCTTTCCACAGCGTTTCTGTTGTGAGGCCTTCCAATCGGATCCCTTGTGGGGTGTTTTCCAAAGGGTTCCGATTGTGAGGGTTTCCCATGGAATCCCTATGTGGTGCTTTCCGAAGGATTTCGATTGGGAGGCTTTCCGCCAGAATCCCTTTGTGGTGCTTTCCGAAAGAATCCTGTTGAGAGGCTTTACGCTAGAATCCAACTGTGGTGCTTTCCAACGGGTTCCGCTTGTGAGGCTTTTCAATGGAACTCGCTTTGTGGAGCTTTCCATAATATTCCGATTGTGAGGTTTTCCAATCGAATCCCTTTGTGGTGTTTCCAGCGGATTCCGAGTGTGAGGCTTCCCAGTCTAATCATTTTGGGGGGCTTTTTCCAAGGAGTCCTGTTGAGAGGCTTTCCGGTCGAATCCATACGTGGTGCTTTCTGACGGATTCCTGTTGGGAGGCTTTCCAATGCAGCTCTTTTGTGGTGCTTTCCGAAGGGATCCTGTTGGGCGGCTTTCCAATATAATTTCTCTGTGGTGCTTTCCAAAAGGATTCCGGTTGTGAGGCTTTCCGCTAGAATCCTTTCCGCGGTGCTTTCCAAAGGATTTCGATTGTGAGGCTTTCCGATGGAATCCAGATGTGGTGGTTTCCAAAAGGATTTGGTTGAGAGGCTTTCCAATGAAATTCCTTTGTGGTGTTTTTCAAAAAGGGGGTCCTGTTGTGAGGCTTTCATATGGAATCCCTTTGTTGCGTTTCCAACGAATTCCGATCGTGAGGCTTTCCAGAGATTCCCTTTGTGACGCTTTCCTATAGGAGCCGTTTGTCGCATTTTTCGAAGGGTTCCTGTTGTGAGGCTTTCCGATCGACTCCCTCTGTGGTGCTTTCCAGAGGTCCTTGTTGTGAGGTTTTCCGATAGAATCCCTTTGGTGTCCTTTCCACATGAATCCTGTTGAGAGGCTTTGCAATACAATCCGCCCGTGGTGCTTTCCAATCGAATCCCTTTGTGGTGCTTTCCAAAGGAATCTTGTTGTGAGGCTTTCCAATAGAATCCCCCTGTGGTGCTTGCCAACGGATTTCTGTTGAGAGGCTTTACAGTGAAATCCCTCTGTGGTGCTTTCCAAAGGGTTCCGCTTGTGATGCCTTCCAATGTAATCCCCTTGTGGTGCTTTCCAAAGGAATCCGTGAAAAAGGCTTTCCAATGGAATGTGTGAGTGTTTTTAATTTTTCAACATAGAAGAGTTCCTCTTGTGAGGCTTTCACATGGAATCCTTTTGTGGTGCTTTCCAAGAGGGTTCCGATTGAGAGACAGAGAGAGAGAGAGAGAGAGAGAGAGAGGGAGAGAGAGTGAGAGGAGCAACGGGGACACATATTTGAAGGCAAGCAATGTGTACATGTAGGTTGGGAGGATGATGGGGTGGATAATAGGAGGAATCAGAGAAATTGGGAGGAGACGGATAATGACGAGGCGGGTGAAGAGAATGAGGACAAATATGATTGTGAATTTTGATGGGAATGGTGAGGATGAGGCAACTGGGGAGGAGAACGGTAATAAGGAATATTGTGGAGAATGGGGTGGAACATGAGGATGATGAGAACGAGGAGGACGGGGTGAAGGATGAGGAGGCGAATGAAGGGGAAGAGGGCCCGAGAGGACGCGAAAGGTATGATGACAGGGGGGGATCATATTGACACATATGTAGATGGGTGCTTATTTGTAATATCTATAATGGTTATATTTACATGTACATTTGCACACACATGCATATGTTCATGTCTGTGTACACGTGTATGTATCAGTATCTGTACATGCAGATGCACGTGTGTACAGATGTCTATCTGTTCGTACCTGCACGAAGTTATGTTCATGATCATGTGTATGTACATGCATGTGTAGGTTTATATGCTTATGTGTTTGCATATTTACATGTATATGTGTATGCCTATGTATACATATGTATATGGTTGTGCATATATATATGTATATGTATGTGTATGTGTTGGTGTCTGTGTATGTTTATGTTTATGTGGGTGTGTATATGTATGTATACTTTCACACTCATATGCATTTTTGTGTTTGTACATGTACACATCTATGTATATGCATATGAACCGGTATACTCATTATATTTATGTATGTATAGATATACGAGTACATATATATATATATATGTATTTGTATCGTACATGGTTTATGCGTGCGTACATGTATACGTAAATATGTATGTAGCTGTACGTCTATGTATGTTTCTATGTTTATGTATATGTATATGTGTTTGCATTTGTATAGGTACATGGATAGGTATAGGTATATCTGTATGCACATGTCAAGTATACGCATATGTATATGCATATGTACTTGCAGTTGTCTATTCATAGGCATACGTATACATTTACGTTTACTCATGTATACAGATGTATACCTATGTAGCTATGTCCATGTATATGTACATACATGTATACACATGTGTGTAGTTCAATCTATTTGTACATGCTCATGTATACGTATACATACGCATATGTATATGTATAGGTAGATGTAAACATACATGTTTATGCACACGTAATTGTAGATGTATCTGTATTTGCATACGTCCATGCATATGAATAGATCTACATGCATATGTACACGCGATCGCTGTTCAGTATGTACACATGTAATTCTAGACGCTTCGCG